ACCGCTATAAGTAGGAAAGAATTGAATTTCGGACCGAAGTATGTACTGTGGAGACTTGGTCAGTAACGCAAAACCAACAACTTACCACAATTTCAGCCAGTTTGACCGAGCCCACGTTTTCATAAACACCGTGCGAGGTCCTTTCATAGACTCCTACCGTTACTCCTTCTAAAAGTAACACAAAAATTATTATCGGATCATGGCAAGGAATTGATTGCAGCATGCTGAACCAGTGTTACCTTTTGCACATATCGCTGGGCATTATCTCGTTGAAAAACTGGTCTTGAAAGGTATCTAAGATAGTGTATGATAAGAGGTTCCAAAATTTCTTGAATCCAACTTTAGAACAAGTTTTTCCATAAAATAATGCTACGCCACACAGAGCAAGAATAACAATGGATTGCTGTTCAGCATACTGCAGGCAATTTCTTGCCATCACCCGAAAGTGTAATACATTCTTATAAAGTATAACTTTTTTTGAGTTCTTCAGAAGTTCATTTTAATGAATTAGTGTTATTGCGTAGTAGGTACCCGATGTATTTTTGGTAGAGCAACATTAATTTGTTAGAGAAACCCATAATTCAAATTATGAAATAAAAAATAAATAATTAATTATTCTTAAAAAAGTTTAGTGATCTTAATATATGTATATTTTTTTTATTTTGAAGATTTTTAGGTAGGTAAAGATAATTGAATTAAAAGAACCATTGACTAATCCTTTTGGTTCAAGGAATTTTTCTTGGACTAATTTAGTACATCCTTAAATTTATTTTCACGAAAGATAAAATTTATGGTCGGACTAGCTTGGGCAGATTTTTCAAGCCAAATAATTTTCTGAACAAGTTTTAAAAGACGGTAGTTCAATTCAGCCGTTGCTGTTTTCAGATATTGGTTTTATTTCTGTTGCTTTCAAAACCGAACCTAAAAGTTTTGTTAAGTTGTTTTTTTATTAATCTTTGTTCGTCCCCATCGCGTCATTGTGATCTTGTGTCATAATTAGTGCACGCAGTCAACGATCAGATTTCGTCATTCTTGACCACAATAGGCACATTTTAAAATCTGTCCAATATTCCTAATTAGTTCATTGGGTTGACCAAAGAAATATTTGTTCACTGAACGACTAGACCAGTCCGATCATTCGCAGAACACAGTCATAGATAGTAAAAAAAGTGGAATATGTCAAAGAATATTAAACCGTATTATAACTGCTACTAGGTAAAACGCAATTTTGAAAAAATAAAGCCTTTTCAAAAATGGTCTTAAATAATTTCCACATCTCTTATTTTAATAGAAAAATTTCTTTAGAGTAGGTAACTTGTGATCAATTTCCTATGTCAACAGTTTTTAAGATTATTGAACCTTGTTGGGTTTGCATAACCTTATGGAATATTCTAGCAAGCTTTACAAAAAAAATGGAAATGAAGGAATGATAAGTTATTATTGTAAAAGTGAGGTTAAAAGTTTGTTTTTGATAATAATTTTGTTTTTTTCCGAGTTAGAAACATCTTGATCTTGATTCGTATATTTTATTAGGTATATTATGTTTATAAAACAGTTGAAAGTATTTTAGAATATGTATTAATTGAGCCAACCGTTTAACATAATTTTATGGATTATGGGATTTTTAGGCCATTCGGCACTGTGAAATTTATCACTAAATAGAAATTGTGACTAACTTACAAACTACAATAAAAAATCGTTTCGTTACCGAAAGATTTCGTAATATAACGTGGTGAGCAACAGTTGTGTCCAGGGCCCAATTAGAATAGAGCTAGGGATACAAGGTTGCCAACAACTAAGGCAAAATCGGGACTGTTCCAACATGACACCACGGATTTAGAATTATGCATGCACCACTAGATGCACGGGCTGGACAAACTGGAGAGAAAGTCCGAATTCTCATTCATTTACTACATTTGGATTAGCATCGCATTCGTTTCAATAAAAACCGCTACTGAGACTGATATACCAACAACTTCAAAGAGCATGGACCTAGTTGCAGGATTTTCTCTCGAGATGGCCAGTTGGCTCATGTATCATAGAGGATGCACGGTCCTACAAGTCGCACTGCAGCAGGCCGTGCATCGTTTTTGATGCACGATGTCACAATTGTTTTTAAATAAGTCAACAACTATAAAGTCAGTCGATGTCGACTGCACAACACTTAACACGTGTAGATAAGTTCGTGTCACACCACCGGCGACGGCTATTTCATAGGGGCGAGGTCGGGCGTCCGAGGACGTTCAGTCTTTTATCGATCTTCAGCAACATACGTCACAATTTCGAACTTATGCGTGCATAATTAAAGGCATACAGGTTTTGGCTTGATACATTCGGGCTACGTTCATTAATAAGTTTTTAAACGAATACAGACGAAGCACCTGCGTTATTTATAATGCTGTCTCGTAAACTGTAAGAGGAATGGCTACCAGTAGAAAGCTTTCCTTGTATCCAAGGGAATGTAATTATTACGGTATAATATTTAACAACATCGTTCCCTCAAAGCAAGGCAGCCTTTTCATTCTGTTGTAAATCTTGAACGAACATCATCAGGCAAAGAAAGTGCTGCTATTAACAACTTCCCTTGTTTACGCCTTGTCGTGATTCATTAGTTTTATTTTACAAAACACTAAAGTAAACTTCACGTGGCATATTTCCTTTTACAATCCAATGCTTTTTAAATTAAATCATAAACCGTATAAAATGTATCACAACTGTTGCCTGTATGACTTACGTAACATTTTAGAATTTGTTTCTACTTAATATATTGCCCTTTAATTAAGCACTGAGTAACATACTAGATTATATACAGGAGCCTTCTATTCGAAATCACGCTCGTTAATTTACCTAGACCCTAGAAACGATTTCAGCTCTTGGTCACTAAAAGGATGTTAATTGTCCAATTATTTAAGACATTTAATTAATACTAAACTACATAATGTAAAACCTTTCTACAGCACTTTAAAATTGAACGTAGATACGGTAACTTTTAAACCTACATGAATTTATTCATCTCTTCGCATTTACTGAAATAAATTTTCTCTAAGAATATTTTTAGGATCCAAGTTTAAAAAAAACGTGTTTTAATTAAAAATTTTTTGAAAAAAATTTTCCAGTTCTTTGTTCAGATTAGTTTGAGGATAGAGCAAAACAGTTCCTATCAACACGAGTCTTGTTTATTTACTAATATTTCATTCCAAGCATAAGTGGCATGTGTGCTGAACCACTTTATCAAAAATATTTTCGATGCTCATGGATTTTTCTGTGAAGTTGGAATTTTGATCTGTTTATTAAATTCTGATTAAGAACATCTATATTTTTCCCAAAGTTGTTAGATTTTGAGAAAAAGAGAAAATTGCATTGCTGCCCCAAATCTTTGCTTGTATATGAAAAACACGTTTTGTGACCCCATAACTGTTCATGTTCTTTCAAGGAATAACATGGATTGTGCGTTGCTGGTCATTCATTTTAAATATGATTAGGCGGTTTACCTTCGAAAAATGTTTATCTAAAACTTATATTTTACTCCTTAAAGGAACAAAAAGGTTAGTATAAAATTATGTCTCAAATCCTCAGTTTGTCAAAGAAAAAACAATGTTATTTTCTAGATTTTCTTTTAGTCAAAATCAAAAGTAACATCAGTGTACATTTAGAAAAGGCAGTTTTTATGCAAAATTGAATGCACAATTCAATTGATACCTCCATGAGCTTAGAAATTATTTTAAAAAAAGTGCATGACTAGTTGTCCAGAAAAGTTAACAGGCGTATATTGTTCTTACTTATTTTAAAAATTGTTATGAAAATTAAATTTAAATTCTGTATAATCTCGTTTACTTTACGGATACTATTTTAGGTATAGACAAAGATAGCTATTAACATCTCACAGTCGGTATTAAACTCTGTGTTTGATTTGATAAAATTACCGTGGGCTTTGTAGCTCAAGGTCATCTTTTTCTCTCGATGCATCTCCTACACTGCTTTCGTTTTGCAGTGTGTTACGTGAGGCCGAAATGGCCGAAAGGTGCGATGCTAACTTGCGTGAAGTTTAAGAAGCGAAAAGTAATAACATTTTTCGTGTGTAATAACAGGAATATAGTTTGTGATGACAATAACATAACCTCAAATATCTACTGGGATTTCAAAACACTAGGAATTAGGTAGATGCATCAGAGGAAAAGGGGAAGTAATATTGACATAAATGCTGCAGTATTTATTTCAAATCGAACACAGGGTTTAATACTTTTTGTTGCTAATAGCTACTATCTTCGTTAAAATGAAAGCGCGTCTTACTGCCGTGGTATTGCATGCCATCATGGAAGTTAATTTTATCAAAATGGGTCCCCACTGGATATAACCTTAAAAATGCTTTCATAGGTTAAGTATCTACGTTAAATTTTTCATAAACAAGGGCTAAAATATTTGCACTATAACTATACAATGCTTCATTGGAAACAAGACCATCAGCGAGTTGTTCGACAATGATCAGAAATGAGAAACGGGTGAATTTGTCACTTTAACAGTCACTGTGATACTACACTGTCCTCGGCAATATCGGTTGCTTATGTCACTGCTGCAGCAAAGCATGTCAAACAGAGCACAATGAAAATAATTTAGTTTAAAGAAGAAAAAAATACATTGAAACAGAACATTCTTACAATTATATTTACAATATCCGTACTTAGATTGCTAATTTATTCTATTAATAGGGATTGAAGAACGTGCAAGTGATGTGTTCGAGAGAGTAGACAAATTTTTGGACAAGCTGGAGAAAATCATACGGGGATACATCTGGAGCGGTGACACTGTGACAGCGCGGTACCTAGCAGTGATAGGTATCACACCCTATCCTTATCAGATCAGATGTCTTCGAGTGACCAAGGATTGCATCGTGTTGGTAACGTGAGGGGAAGCCAGTTTCCGTGGTATCGCGCACGTGTGTACGTTGAAGAGAGGCTGGGCCGCGACCGGTGCGACCCAGCCCGGTCAGTTTTCAGTCACTATCAGTGTTTATACTCAGGATATCGCTTGGGCCGGTGGATGGTCGCGTGGTCGGGATGCGGGTGACCTGTAGGGAGGTGGCCCGGTGTTGGGACAGGCGCTCTGGCGATGCTGGGTGGCTCCTCGCTTGTGGAACTGCTTGGCGATGGAAAATATTCCCGGGGCACGACGCCGCCGCCTCCGCCGCTGGTGCTCGCCTGTCCCACGGCGTCCTCACTGGCCCACCGGGCTAGCTGCTGTTGAGCTTGAATAAATTCATCACTAGAAAACAATGATAGTAACAGCACTACCAAGATATGGTAGTAATATTGTATATATTTCCTAAAATTGTTACGTTCTGTTAATATTCACAAGGTGATTTATTAAAATCGTGCAATATTGTATATTCGTCCTCCACGTAAAATTTCAGGGCAGTGTGATTCTGCACACTGATTCTATCCGAATGTTACTCCTGTGACAGTGCTGACAGTAGTCACACTGGTCATGTTGGATGATCACGGCAGATGAATCACCTAACGCGAATGAAAAGTCAACATGTAAACAGCAAATCATTGAAAGTGGATGCGGATAGCGGATGAAACGTAGAATAAACCGTGTAAACAAAACGTTCACTGTGGTGATTCGATGGCTCAACTAAATGCTACACTGTCTTGCAATTTCTATAATTGAATCGCTTGTTTTAGACATTTTGCAAATTTTGAAGAGGTAAAAAAAATGTTTCACAAGTACATATGTTAGAAGCATAACACTCTTTTAAATCTTGACTACGCCACCACTAGACAGTTCGCCGAATACAGTGTTATCTGTTGCTATCGTTTTAAACCAATAGTATGAGTGAAACTGCATTGGAAAATTGTTTTGTAAACAGATTGTTTTTGTACTTTGCAACATGTTATTTTAAAGTCACCATATTCTTTTTGGAAAAGATCCGTATCAAACAGATGAGTGGTTTTACTAACTGCCTAAAGACTTTGTAACAAGGGATTTGTATGTACCTCCACAGGCTGGTAGCTGGAGGTATGTACAGCAGTATGCAGCACAACACTACGTTAATGGAAGAAAAATTGTACAACTAATAGAAGATCCTTTACTTAATACTTGACAAATTGTTTGTCATTTGGAGTTATGTAGTGACATTGTGTTCATAAAGAACGTACTGAACGAAATTTGCACGTCGGCTGGGGTTTATTTAATAACTGTTGGAGTATATCCGATAAGATTCGAAGAATACATATAATTTTCCAAAGCGAATTATTTGTCATGGTACGAGCGTTTGGGATCAAGAAAATAAACAAATTTTCTGACCTCTACTAGCTCAATACCGATTTTCGATAAATTTTTGGACAAGTCTATACAATAATAGATTGAGCACCATACTCGGATGACTATACAGGGTGTTTCTAAAATAGGGTTCCAAACTTCTACTGCGTTTATAACTCATTAAAATAAGCCAAAAAGTTCCTATTAACATGTGCCCTAAAACGCACCCTTAGGAAGTTATATGCTCTTAAAAGGGCTTAAACAAAACTGTTTTTTTTCTGTTATTGACAAAACGGTTACAAATAAATAGAAAAAAATGTATGGGTCTTTTATAACTTTTTACATTAAATAACATGGGCTACTCCGTTTTTCGACACGCAAATCATATGCGTCCCATTTAGGTTGGTGAAGGGGGTTTTCGGCCCGTAATTTTTTTTATTTCAATTATTTTACAATTTTCTCTACATATTTATAAAATCTTAACAATTTTACGTAAACAATATTATCTTTGTCCAAATCGATATTTCCAATGGGTTTCGAGTAAATTGAGTTTGAAAATTACTCTGCTCTTTAAATTAGGCCAAAAATTACAAAAATCTGTTTACCATGGCAAATAAAAGACTGACGTTGCCACAACGCTTAACAATTTAAGTTATTGATGCACTGTGCATTGAGCTTTGCAGTGTTTAATTAGTAAAAGTGGTGAGTGGAAATTTTAAGTATACAACATTATTGCAACTCATAAAATGGAGTCATATTCAAACAAGGAAATGGCAGATATGCACGTACGGCCGTGCGGCTGGAAATGCATCAGAAGCGAGGCGTCTGTATGCGGCAGCATACCCGAATAGAAGACTTCCTTCTCGACAGGTATTTCAGAGGATCCAACGTTTAAGAGAAAATGGTTCGTTCCAACCAAGAGTAAATGATCGTGGCAGCGACAGATTTGTAAGAACACCGGTGATGAAGAAAATGTATTGAGAGCTGTGCAGGACAATCCAAGGGTTAGTGTAAGAAGTGTCGCACTACGAACCACGTCGGCAGTTTGCCAATGGTTTTTGCGAAAATCGAGGCGGATTCCGAATTTTGCATCTCTTATTTCGTTTACGGATGAGGAAAGCTTCAGTAAAGATGGTTATGTCAATTTTCATAACGCTCATGAATGGGCTGATGAAAACCCACACAGCATATTTCAGTCCAGACATCAGATTCGGTTTTCCGTCAGCGTTTGGGCAGGCATTTTAGGCGATCGGCTAATCGGACTGTTTGTGTTGCCTAATCGATTGAATGGTGAGGATTATTACAATCTTTTAGTTAACGACTTGCCAGGACTTTTGGAAGATGTCCCTTTAATTGAACGCCAAAGCATATGGTTTATGCAGGACGGGGCGCCACCTCATTACCTACATAATATAAGACAACACTAAAATGAGTTGTATGGAGAAAAATGGATAGGCCGAGGAGGTCCTGTTCCCTGGCCTCCACGTTCCCCTGACCTTAACCCATTGACTATTTTTTGTGGGGTCAACTTAAGGCAAAGGTTTATAAAATTCCAATTGAGCAACTACGGGAGGAAATTGAAACCGCGTGCATGGAAATAAGGCAAACACCTAGAATTTTCCAAAGAGTTCGCAAATCATTGAAGCGCCGAGCTAGATTATGCATGGAAATGCAAGGTGGTCACTTCGAGCAGTTCTTAACTTATTATTACTAATTTTAATCCCATTATTTTCTATTTCACATTTAGCTATTGTCTGTAGTAGTAATTAGTTCTTTAATTAGTAAGTGTAACTCTAAATTTAAATAGTCTTAGTTTATGTCTTAAATTATTTTTTAAATGATGGGATCCTTCATAACTGCAATTTATTTGAAAAAAAAAAAACAGTTTTGTTTGAGCCCTTTGGAAAAACCATTGGAAATATCGATTTGGACAAAGATAATATTTTTTACGTAAAATTGTTAAGATTTTATAAATCTGTAGAGGAAATTGTAAAAAAAATTGAAATAAAAAAAATTACGGGCCGAAAACCCCCTTCACCAACCTAAATGGGACGGGATGATTTGCATGTGGAAAAACGGAGTAGCCCATGTTATTTAACATAAAAAGTTATGTAAGACCCATAAATTTTTTCTATTTATTTGCGACCGTTTTGTCAGTAAAACAGTTTTGTTTGAGCCCTTTTAAGGGCATATAACTTCCTGAGGGTGCGTTTTAGGGCATATGTTAATAGGAACTTTTTGGCTTATTTTAATGAGTTATAAACGCAGCAGAAGTTTGGAACCCTATTTTAGAAACACCCTGTATAGTCATCCGAGTATGGTGCTCAATCTATTATTGTATAGACTTGTCCAAAAATTGTCCTGTATAATATATGCCACGTTTCTGTGATATAATATATTATTTGAAAAATCTTCAGCTATCTTATATAAGCATGCACGACACATCATTTCAATATTTTATCTGTGAAATTTATGCTTTTTTGAAATATTTGACCTTGATTTGTTAATCTGACATATTACCACTTACTGCACTAATAGAAAGTTACAAATATGGATATTTACACAAACAAAAGTGGCTTTAATAAAAATCGGCGATTGTTGCCCTTAAATGACATACCCTGAACTTGATTTATTACGTCACAATACTCAATGAACTATTTATAGAATAGAAAACAGAAGTATAGTAAGGTTGATTACTAAGGGCTATCAGGACTGAGCTGCGGGACATAGGCGTACGCATTATTTATTAAAAAACAAATTAAATTGTCTACATGTCTCGATTGACCCGCTAGACACGCCATTTAATTGCGGCTCTCTCTGATAGCCCTATTGATTACTAAACCACTTGTAAAATGTCGGCGCCAACACATTCGCAATGGAACCGAGTTTTTGGCGGCAGTCTTTCTCGCTTCTGTTTGTACTTTATTCTAGAAATGACTTTTTTCTAGTTAGATAGAAAGAAATGGTTTCTTTTCAAGGAACTGGACCAAATGCCGATGTTTCTGTGGTAAAACTACATGAAGGGCTTAGCATACGCTCAACCAATTAATAGTGAACAAGATATCGACAGTGCCACAAACATAATTCGTGAGCAATGGGGCAAGTGTATATTATTTGCCATTCAAAACTGTATTTTCGAACCTACTAGTAGAACTTTCTTTTTCACAAAATTTAAATAGATATTATCCACGGTTGTATATTTTTATTTCTTTTTGCACTTCAACTTTCTGTGGGGACATCCTTCCATTTTATTTTTGACGTATTCAAATAAATCACCCTGTATTTGTTATTATTTAATAGTACTATTAGTACTAATAATAATAACTACTACCGGAATTAAATGTTCGATCCTGTGAATTTATGAATTAAAAAGGTATGAATATATTAAAAAATGTGCCTTTAGCTTTCTCGTCTTATAAATAAATGCCATTTCTTCCCGAGAAACGAAACAAATAGAAAAGCTGACAAGGAAAATACAGACAACAAGGCGACAGAAATAGTGGCTATATGTAATACGAAGGGAAATCAGGATATGATTCAGTAAATTAAACTGAAAATAAACATTTAATCTGCCAAATTGTACCAGATAGATGTTAAGCAAGCTGTTGAAATTTACTTTTCGAAATGGTTTTTCAGTCAAATCCCAGAACGAAAGAAATTGATATAAACAAATCGTAAAATTTTTCCAACTCAGTTTGATTTCGAACATTCCATGTGTAACTCAACTTCATAAAAACTTCTCATGAAGTAGAGATATATCAAGGAAAATTAGTAAATTTCAACGACATTTGAAGGAAATAATCTCTGAGTGAGTACGCAAATGTTGCAAAACTAACCACTATTAAAATCAAACTATCTGATTCAATTTAGCAATTTATCTTTTTAATAATTTTAGGAGATACATAATATTTTTGTTTGGTTTAAATTAATAATTAAGAATACGAAACTTACCTATAGTACCTACTACCTAGTAAAAATGCAAACACGTGCGGAGAAGGTGA